CAGTCCCCCAGCTTCCTAATGAGAATGGGGTGAGAGAGTGTCAAAAGCCTTCCTGAAGTCCAGGAAAACTATATCCACTGCCACCCCTGCATCCAATGATTTAGTGACCTGGTCATAAAAGGCCACCAGGTTGGTCTGACAGGACCTGCCGCTGATGAACCCATGCTGGTTGCCCCTGAGCATGCAGTTCCCTGCTGGCCCCTCCTGGATGTGTGCCAGAATAATTTTCTCAAACAGCTTGCCCAGGATCGAGGTAAGACTGACTGGCCTGTAGTTCCCCGGATCCTCTTTCCTTCCCTTTTTGAAGATGAGAACCATGTTGGCCCTCTTCCAGTCCTCCGGCACCTCTCCAGAACACCACGAGTGTTCATAAACTCGTGGACTTATGGACCATAATTTGTTATGGTCCAGTAACTTTAGTGCTGTCTGCTTCTCCAAAGAGGTATTTTTATCCATTCAAGAAAGGTAAGGACTGAACAGCCTGCCTCCTGAGGAATCAAGTCTTCAATAGCAGGGAAGGGAGGAAGGGATATCAAGAAGTGGGTGATGACACTGTCTGCATTTTCTGACGGGTACTAGTACCAGTGGATGGGCAAATGTATGCATTCAATACAATTTCCTCAATGGGCCTGAGCCTCAACTAGATTCACACAAGGGCACTGTTAAGAACCCTTTCTGTAGCCAGTCTGTTCACTAGCAAGTCATCTGACTTGGTGTCTTTTGCCAACTAGCGTGGTGAACAGATATACCTGAATGCTTGCTTTCACCATGCACTCCATGCACCATGGACCCAGAAGCAGACAGCAGAGACCTGGGGGTGGTGGGAGCATTCTGGGTCTATCTGGGTTCTGTTCTCCACTGTACATCTCAAAATCAGATCTTCAGATGTGCTGATTTGATGTCTGACTGTACTAGCTTGGGTGCCCTGTGACTGTCCAAAGGAACTAATGGGGACATTGTCTAACTTGGTGATGGGGGTCCACAAGGGCTGCTCTTTTGGAGACTCCACTATCCCTATCTGGTTCCCGTCCAGTGTTTTTGCCTGATGTGTTGCACATGGTCTTCACAACCACACTCATCCCTGGGTTCCAGTAGTGCTCTGTGCCAGGTTTGGTTAAAGTAGAGCATGTGCTTATGATCCTCCTGCTTGCTGATTGAGGCAGCTTTGGGTGAGTCCTCTCCTGGTGCCTATGGAAGATGTATATTTGCTTCCAGTGCCTGTAGACCCACCATTTGGACAGTGTACCTTCTCTTTCTCCCACAGCCCATTGTCTGGTCAAAAGCCGTAACTGAGCCTGCTGCATTTAAAGTACTAGAAGCAAAATACATGGGCACCGGCATCCTGTAAACCATGGGCGGGCAATTATTTTGGGCAGAGGGCCACTTACTGAGTTTTGGCAAGCCTTCGAAGGCCACATGGCAGCCAGGGGCAGATAAATATTAATTTTATAAATTTTTTAGTGGTCCTGTGGCCGGATGGAATGGCCTGGTGGGCCACATCTGGCCCGTGGGCTGCATTTTTTCCACCCCTGTTCTAAACTCTAGAAGTGCAGAGAGAAGTGGCAGACATTGTCCTGCTAAAGCAGTTATGCAGCCAAACCTGGCCAGTTCTGAAAAGTGACAGATTTTAATTGTGCAGGAAGGAAGGATGGAGCAAGTCTGAAAGCATCTATGTGTTACTAACTGTACAGTACAGAAGGGGCAAATGACTAAAAATGCTGGACAGTGGTTCTGCAAATAAACAGGTCACTTGCTATTGTGGCAGGAAGACCCGTTCATATAGAGATGTATCGAATGACTCTCTGGGACTGACTCTTTCTCATTGGGCTTCTAGGCCTTTCTCTCTCTACCACCCCCACCACTTCCTTTTACCTAGGACTGTTTTATTGCATCTGCCTCTATTGCTTTTATTTGAACCAAGTATAACATCTTAGGTTTCATAAGACTGGTAACTGACGTGTGAGCAGATTGGACTCGTCAGCAATGGGTGTTGTACACTAGGAGATGGGATAAGGGGTCTTGTCTAGTGGTGTGTGAAGATGCAGTCCCCATCCCACCTCCTCCCAGATGGCAGCATTGTGGCAGGTTAGGAGACTCAGATCAGTGATGGGCAGAGACTTGTAGAAGGGACAGTGTGTTGAGAATGGGACATGAGGTTAAATGGTATGTGTTGTTCTACAAGGACAGTTAATGGGGCAATGAACCTTGCCCCTGTACTGGGGTTCATCACAACATTGTTTTTAATGCATTGGATGCATTTTAATGCATTGGGTCGGACTCTACTATAGTATGTATGAAACCAGCTCTAGGCACATGAGCAGAGTGCCTCAGCTTTGCTCCCATGATGGAGTGGGGAACTCACTCCACCAGTATTTCTGTGATTACGAAATTAAAACATGGCTTAAAACCAGCACAAAAAAAATTCCATCATTGTCCACACCCCTGTCATGTTCTGCAGAGGCTTAGTCTGTTGATTTCCTTTTTGAATAATGTCAGAAGATACTGGAATTTCCTGCTTTCATCCTACTGCAGTAACTGCACCCCAGGCAGAAAGGAGTAGTAAGACTTGTTTCTGTAGGTCACAACTGGTCTTTCTCCCAAAAGACAATTACTACTGCTTTGTCCAGTGCATTTTAAATAGGTCAACAAACAGTGTCCTCACCCTATTTTGGTGGGGGGCGGGGTACAGTACAGCACCTTAATATTACATGTAGCTTGCAGGAATTGTGTCCCAAACTTAGTATGAATTTATTTGTCTTCAGTTCAGCCAAATGGTTATAACATTCAAACTGTGAAAAATAATCCCTCTTTCTCCCTGGAGTTTTCCCATGGGTAGTAGTAGCCTGTGGTGTTGTTCCCCAGTCTGTTAACTAGCTAAGCTGCGCAGTCTCATATCCTCTTTGCTTCAGTCTCCCATCCCTTGCCGACAGTGACATTTGTTGCTCTTTAATTCCTTGAAGTCTGTCTACCGCTTCCTGGTCCAGCGGTGGATACGGAGGAACACAATGAGTTCATAGTTTCAAGGGAGGCAGGAGTGTAACGCACAAGATATAGTCCAGTATCTGAAGTGGTTTTTGGGATAGATAAATGTTCTGAAACAAGTGAAGGCAGCAGCTAAGCTATTCTAAAGTGGCCTGGCAGGGCAGACGAGGTCTGTGTTTTGGGTATGCTCATTCCTGTGCTCTGATGAGATACCCCTGAAACCCCAACCTGCACTTGCTTGTTTGCTGGTCTTCTGCAGCACAGCCTCCTGTTTGATTTGCTAGTCAGGATCAGACTCTGGTTAGGAAAGTGGAACCAGGAGCTGCTTCTTGCTTTTAACAGTCGCACCAACGTGCCTTACAGTGCTACAGCCACAGACGCAGCCAGAGGCATCAATCGGATGCTGCTTCCTCTCAAGTAGGCTCTGCACCTCCCTGTTCAAGCCTCTGTCGAAGCAAACCTCACATGCAGCATAAATCCTTTTACAGCTATGTTAGTGTTTCCCCTTTCCTCATGCTTTCTGGACAGCAGTGACCACACATACTATTTTACCCCTGGGGGCATCAGCAGTGATTAACCTTCCAGGCATTAATGCTACTTTTTTGCTTCATGTAACAAGATATTTAAATGATCATTTTAAAGCAGTGATTTATAAAATGCAGTGCAGCAATGAATGTTTGGGAAGAGCTTTGAGATCCTTGAATCAAAGGCACTGTGTATTTATGCTTTTAATAATAGTTACAAGGGTTGTGTTTAAATTAAGGACCACAGATGCCCACAGATGGTTTGATTGCATTTTTCCTAAAAGCCCTGCTCTGGCTCTCCCAGAGGACAAAAGGCCTTTATTTTTGAGCCCTTGATTTTTTTTGCACTTTAAGGGGTTTTTTGGGTTTTTTTTTAACATGTAAATAAAAGTTGGCGTTTCACAGGTTAACAATTTGCAGCATCTTCTCAGTTCTTACTCCAGAGGAGCAGCCCTGCCTGGTTGTAAATCATGTTAGCACATTTGCTTTGTAATCTTGCTTCTCTATCTCTCCACCTGTAGCACTGGGGACCTGAGGCAGTGGGTGTGTATGCAGATAGCCACTTTGTGTGCAGGAGCCATTGCTTTCTCCTACTTCTAGAAGCCCGGCTGTTGGTTCCCACCAGATGCCTGTGATACCTGTTTTATTCTAGCCATTTTAGGCTGGCAGAAGCTAAATTCAGTTAGTTTAATTATGAGTTTCTGACAATTTGAGGCTCATGGATTTCCTTGAAGTGCTTTGAAAAAATATATAAACTGCCAAACACACCATGCAAAACCTCACTTTCCCTTTCACTCTCTTTCAAACTTTGGATGATGCTTAGTCTCAGTAGGGTGCTGTGTCAGATTATACC